AGAGAGAGAGTGTAGTAATGGAATGGGGAGAGAATAATGAAATGAGTACCTTCTCCCCCTTTTTACAGGGAGAGTGTACCTTATAGTCCATGTTGGGCCTGGCCTAGGTCCGAGATGCTTAATCAAGATCGACCTCCACAAAACATTCGACTCCGTCTCGTGGGCCTTCTTAAGGCTAATGCTTGAGGGCTTATGCTTCCCACCAGCTTTCTTCAAGTGGATCATGGAGTGCGTAACCACACCCACATACTCCCTATCCACAAATGGAAGCATTGAAGGCTATTTCAAAGGTGCTCGCGGACTAAGGCATGGTGACCCGTTCTCTCTTTTTCTTTTCGTTATTTGCATGGAATATCTCTCTAGACTCATCAAATCCAACACGACGGATGACTCAAAATTCAAATTCCATCCTATGTGTGAGAAGCTAAAAATATCCCACTTAGTCTTCGCCGATGACCTCATGCTCCTCTCCCGGGGGACCCGGGGTGAATCCAAGTGCTCATGGATTGCTTAAGACACTTTGGGGCGAAATCGGGGCTTGAAATGAATGTGCTTAAGTCCAATATCTACTTGGCTGGTGTTAAAAAGCAAGACCGGGAGTCAATCCTTGATGACACTAATTTAAAGAGCGGGCCTATGCCATTCTGATACCTTGGAGTTCCCCTTACCGCGGACCGAATCACTGGAAGGCTATTTGACGAAATGATTAATCAAATTGAGAGCCAACTTAGTGGGTGGAGGAGCCATACCCTCTCTTATGCCGGTAGATTGGAATTAATTAGATCGGTCATTCAAGGCATTTCTTGCTTTTGGATGGGCATCTTCCACTTGTCGGGAATTGTTCGCACCAAAATCATCCAACTTTGTAGGAGGTACTTATGGGGTTCCAAAAAACCCCGTTGCTTGGGATACTTTGTGTACGCCCTGATCGGAAGGAGGACTGGGGCTTCGGAACTTGGATGCTTGGAATCGAGCCCTTCTTGGGCGCGGCCCATATTATCACATCGAGTGTCTTAGCCCATGTATAGGCGTATTCTTCAGTATATATCCATAAAACCAGTCGGGTACGACATGCTATATCAGATACTACCGGTCGAGCCGGTAGTACTAGCCGTGGCTATATCATCCACCCTTAGAGGCATTGAGGGAGGTAAGTCCCCGGGCCCGGATGGATACACTTCTACATTTTTCTTAAACAGTTGGGAAGTTGTTGGCAAAGATGTTGTGGCGGCGATTCAAGAATTCTTTCGCTCCGGATCCATCCTAAAACAATGGAACCATACCAACATCACACTAGTCCCGAAGTCCTCCCACTCATCCCGAGTAACGGACTTCTGGCCTATCGCGTGTTGCAATACCGTCTACAAGATATTCTCCAAAATCCTTGCTCGAAGAATTAGCGAAGTTCTTGATACTATTGTTGATGAAGCTCAAGCCGCGTTTGTGAAGGGGAGGAATATGACGGACAATATCTACCTCATGCAACAATTACTCCGACAATATTTGAGGAAAAGAGTATCATGAGGACTCTTTGCAATATGCAAGCTAAGAATAAGGACTCTCTATGGTACAAATGGATTCATAACATCTACTTAAAGGAGAAAACAATTTGGCAGTGGCAAGTATCCAAGAATGACTCCCCTCTCTTTAAATCTCTCTTTGAAATCCGACAAGGCTGTATAGAGAAAGCGGGTAGTGTTCGTGGTGCGGAAGGCATTCTCTGTACTTGGAGCTCGTGATAAACAAGATGGTACTAGCAAGTGCTATGATTTCCTTCGTCCTAAAGGTACCGAGAAGCCATGGATCGGGGTTGTTTGGGGGAGTTGCAACACCCCCAAGCACTCCTTCATCTAATGACTTGGAATGATGAATAGACTCCAAACGAGAGATCGCCTTGAGTTCCTCAATGAAGACCCCACTTGCCCCCTTTGTGGAGTCGAAAACGAATCCTCGAAGCACTTCTTCTTCGAATGCCCCTTTAGCTCGGAAATATGGAGTGAAATTCAAACTTGGGTGAGCCTCCGACATAGGCCAATCACACTCAAGGGCGCCCTTAAATGGACCAAAAAAGAAGGAAAAGGCACATCTTGGAGAGCCAAATTGAAAAAAGCGGCGCTTGCGGCAACCGTGTACTTTATTTGGAATGCGAGGAACCGGTTGATCTTTGAGAATGAAAGTCAACCTCCAAGCCTCGTGATTAGAAAGGTAGAGACTCATGTCTATCGATCTATCTTTGCTATTTAACCGAGTGTTTTGGCCGAATTCGAGAGGAGGTGTCTCGGTAATTTTTGAGTTGGTTGTTGTGAAGTTTGGTTGCACTTGTACGATTTTGTTACGTGGGTAAGCAACCAGATTGTAGTTGTCCTCGTTATTTTTGTTCTTGCGAGTGAGGAGCCGACTTGTGGCTACCCGCTACGCTCTTGAAAGTCGCTTCGGTTGTATGACTTTACGTTTTGATCAATATAAATTTATTTAACGATAAAAAAAAAATCATAAAAGATACAACAATGTGAAAAACATTTTATTTCAGCCAAATGGGAAATCGAATAAATACAATCCAAAAGATCACATAAGAGTTTGCTTTACAGTATACTCCAACAATGGTCCAGTTCACTAAACCTCACCCGTGTGAATCAAAGCAATAAATACTGCATCTATATGTCTATTTAATATCTTACGGATTAAGAGAACGCCCTAATTAACCGAGGCCTAGTTCGTTTACAACGATCAGTATAAAACGAACTGCTACTCTCTGGGATCCTGTTAAATATATAAATGTACTAGTGCAACTAATCAGTCAAAGACAAATTGTACCGTTGACACTACAATCGTTCACGATGGGGTGTTCATGTCCATCTAGGTTGTGAACCATTATTTTTGTTTCGCGAGTAACTGATAGAATGATCTTCGGTTCGTCCGATGACGACCTACACTATCTAATGCAAAACAACAGAACATAGAACTTGTTTAATCTAACATGTTTCTCATTCATAAAGGGCAAAAGTGTTTAGAAAATATAAACTATTTAAAAAAATAATTTTATTTTTATAAATAAACTTATAGAAAATATTTTTTTTGTGAATAAAATTTTTATTTTTGAAAATGTTAGGAATGTATAAAATTAATACCCGGAATATTCTATTGTAGGTAATTTCATTCACAAATAATTTTTTAATAAGTTTATATAAATAAAAACTACTTTCCTAAATAGTTTATATTTTAATGATATCACATATTTAGATTAAAATTAAATTAAAATTTAATTTTGAACTTTTAAAATAAGTTTCATTAAACTTTTGCATAAATGTAAATTATGAAATAATTATCTTATTAGATAATTTTACCAAATATATTCAATATTTTTCACTATAAGAACTTTAAAAATAAATTTAAAAAAAGAATTGTTGTTTACATAATTATCTCAAAATACGAAGTGATTTGAAGTCTTAAAAAAAAGTAGAATGTAAAAGTAGACTTTAATTTAAGCTTAACTTAAAATTAAAATTCTCAAATTAAAAAGTTAAAAATTTCAGGCCTTAGTGTAACGCAATAATAAAAAGTTAAGCATACAATGAAATTTTCCCATTAAATTAAATTATTATATATACATCAGTTAAATGATAGGACACAATTTATGCAATATTTTTACCTATAATATAATATTATATAGTGTGCGCGGATCATTTTGTTTACAATAAATAATAGTGAGGAGAATGCAGTGGTGCCATGATTTATTTAAACATGAAAAAGTAAAAATAGCGCGGGCGCCTAATGAAATTCAGTTGGAATTCCCGGCGCCAAATTAGGGCGAGCCTCTGTTTTGTGTCTCAAACGCACGCACAGATAGAGAGACCAAAATCCGAAATTGAAAATGGGTGCGAACTTCATCGCTGTTGAATGCTTTCACTGCTGCACGATGCAGGCAATTCTCTCTCTGTTTCTGTAATTCTCCAAATGAATCATTCGTGTGTTTTTGTGTGTGTGATAACCTATAAATTGGGGAAATGGCAGGTAAAGCAGCAGAAAAAGAGCAGCAACAGCAAGTGGAACTGCGTGGTTTGCAATCAGAAGCAGTCGGTGCGCAAGGTGTTTGCTCAGAGCTCCATGGCCAGGGACGTCCGCAAATTCGTCCAGGCTTCCAACATGTCCCGCCAGATGTCCGATCAGACGCACCTGGAAGTCGAGACCCTTGAAATTCAGGAGAGGCCTAAAAGGAATGACTGGAATGAGTATGTTGATGTGGATGACAAATCCTGCTCCCCTCACCCTCAAGGTGTTTGATTAAATGTCTACAACAACTACTTTTCTTTATTTTTTTCTCTTTTTTTTTTTCATGTAATGGTTCCTTTATTTATGAATTTGGAGGGACAGGGGATAATGATGGAGGGGAGCCGTTGGTGCTGACTGAGATGCCAAAGCTGCTGTTCAAGAAGAAGCAGAAAGTGAAGGACTGTTCTCGTAATGGATATGACTCCGAGAAGATGTTGACGCCCATTTTTTCGGGCACAAGAAATGGCAAAAGACGTCTGGATGAAAATTATGAGGGTAAATTGGAAATTAATTTGCATGTGCTTTTTTAATTTTGTGGAAAGAATTGAATAATGATGAATTTTGGTGAAAGTGCAGATGCTCGAGTTGAGAAAGCGTGTGATGATGTTAGTAATGAGGAGGATCTGAATCATGCTACTAAGTGGAACCTTTTTAAAGCACAAATTCAAGATAGCAACAGAAACAAGTTGGGGGAGACATTTATGCAGCAACCGGTGAAGAGACCAATTTCAAAGTGGAGTGCTTACATGACAAGTGAAAGCGAAAATAATGATGAAACTGAGGCACCAATGGCACGAGCAAGTCATAAAGTAACCTCCAAAGGACCACTTCCTGAATGGTGTAACTTGATAACCAAAGAAGAAGAAAAAGAAGATGATGTTGATGCGTTGGAGAAGTTGATGAATGATGAAAGGGTCGAGGATGATGTCCACCCCGACTTTATGTGAGTTCCTCAATTTTAGATTGTCTGATGGACATGAGTAGGGGTTTTTTACGCCACGATTTTTATTATTTTGCAGAAATATATATAAGTGTTTGATGGAAATGAGTAGGGTGTGTATGAATCGGGTTGCCTATGACCGGTGTTAGCATTGACGATAGAATTGTGTTTTTTAGTTTAGTTTGATGATTAACTGAATCAAGTTTGAAGGAGCTTTAGTCAGCCTAGCTGGGAATGTTTGATATATTTACACAACCTTATCCAACTCTTGACTGGAGGACTCACTGGTTTGATCACAGACTATATCACTTCATAAAACGCATCCTACGTGTGTGTGTGTGTGTGTGTGTAATGAATGGATGAAATTGAAATTATAATATAGGCTTCACAAGTTAGAATAATGCATTTGTGGAGCCCTGGGAGTCTGTCAAACTAGTTGTTTACTATAGATTCAGATATGGTTAATGTTAAACGTGACATTCCATTATTCGTCTGTTTAATTATTCTATCCCCACCCCCACCCCACGAGAATATTTACTTCTGTTTATTATTCTATTTGCATTTTGTAGCGTCTCGTTCGATTTATAAAATTTCTTGGATTCTTCTATTTATCGAAATTTTATTTATGAGATTATATTTATTTTACTGGTCGTGAGGTCCTTAAATTGTGGGTTTAAGTACTCAATCGATTTGTTTTTAAAACGTTTGTCGTTTGGCGATTTCGGGTTAATCGCGTAGTTTAGATTTAACCCGTTCGATTATTGGATTTCTTTTCGGATATTATTATATTAGCATTATTATTATTATTATTATTATTATGTATTTTATTT